AAAAAAAAAAAAAAAAAATAAAAAAAAAATAAATCTTGCAGAAGAAACTAGAGAAATTTCTTACCTTTTGCACAAACCACTGTAGCTGTCCAAAAAGCACAAATAAACAGACCGATTAAGCTCTCAATTTTCAACAGAAACTTTACATAGCAGTATTGGTTATTTAAGGCGGAACGAGTGTTTAATGCCATTTACTGCTTACCCATCCTTGATTTGCTTGATTACAAGCCTCGACCAGCACACAGAATTCCCAGTTTCAGCCAGATATTAATAACAGTTTTGTGCTGGAAAAAATTCTTATGATGCTCCCATTCTTCAACTTTTTCTCCTGTCTCCTATGCCACCTTTCTCCCTCCCAAAAAAGTCTTTTCTGTGATCAAAAACTTAAAATACGATGGTATTACTGCTGTGCTAAATAACTTTATTTCAATAAATTTTATTTGTACGCCAAAGCATAATTAATAAAACATTACAAAAACTCCAAAACAAGTTACTAAAAAGCAAAAAACTTCCTGGAATTCAATCAGCCATATCAATCTTTGAACATTTAATTACATTGGTTATCTTTTTTTCTGTGGATAATTTGTGAAAACATCAAATATAGAGCTTTAAGAGTATCCACTTATGGAAATACACATTTTTATTGTCTTCTTAACTAAAGAACACGTTTGTCGGTTAAAAAGTTGCCAAAGAAAAGAAAAAATAGTGTCTTAAAAATTCAAAATTCTTTGAAAAAAAAAGAATTTGATTACTAAAAAAATAAAGCTTCTAACAAACCGATGATGATAAGTTTAGACGGTTCTCATGGAAGTCTTTCTGTTGTTGGAACTGTACACAAAGCGACCAATACGAACAATTCATAATTTTTCTTATGCTACAGCAAAGAAAACATATTTCAGATGTGGCGAACGGAATATAATGAAAAACTACTAAAAGTTATTTGGTTAAGCTTTTTTTGTTTGTTAACTGCTTTTTAAAAGCAAAGTGCATAGTTATAAATTATAAAGTAGAAGATAAACTCATCAGTCAAAAACTTTATATTAAGTGGGAAATTTTCATACTGAATTCTATCTTCAATAAATATTTTCATATGAAACTGTTAGCTGGAAAAAAGAAGTAGATGTATAACTTATAATTTTCTACAGCAGTTGAAAGAAATTGATAGAAACTTTTTACATTAACTTTTTCGTAAGCTTTCTGTACGTAAAGTAAAAGCAGTGACAACATACAAAGCAGCCAAAAGCTTCCTGCTCATTTAACTTTGTTCCCATACTTTAAACTTTGCCCTTCTATAACAGCAAATGATTTAAAGCAGAAATCTTCTGTAAACGCACTTTTTCTAAAAATCAGTTAGTCAACTGCTTTACTGCACGAAAATGTTTTATCAAAATGAGTAAAACAAAAAGTTTACTCTTCTTCTGACCTTTGAGCATCGACAGTGCTTTGGTTTTGTAAGATACAAATAAAGGATACTGTTTTCTTTCCTCTTTCAACTTTTACTGTCTTTTAAAATTTGACACCTAACTTTACTGTACTCTGTTCTTGATGCTCCTCTGTTTGGTGAGGAACATCGACATTCCCGAGGCCCAAAGAGACAGGAGAACTTATAATAATAAATAACAATAAAGATAATAATAAAATTTTATAATACAATAATTCAAAATTTTCTAAGAACCAAGATACTTCACAAATTCATCCAAAAAGACAATTTCAATCCTTTTGAATAATTCACAGAAGTTTTCTCACAGGCAAAAATTCTTAAACACCCGTTGGCTACCAAATATAATCATACCTTCCTTAGCTCTCGTAAGAGCTACTGCCATCCGGTTTTGGTCGGAAAAGAACTCCTCGGTTTCTTCGGTCAGACAGGTGTTTGTCCTGGTTGTTGATAGAAAGACAACGTCTGTTTCCTTTCCCATTTATGAGTCCACTGTATAACACGAGAGGCTTGGGTCTCGGGCACTCAAATCTCTGAGCGTCGAACTATAGTAACAGAGCGTCGTCAATTTGCCTGGAAGGTGGTGTGCTTGAATTTCCTGAGCGATCTGTACCGCTGCTTCATTCTGTCGCTCATTGGTCCAGCTGAGAAGTGGGGTTTTGCAGTCTTCGCCCGGCACATCCAAGAATAAAATTGGAGTTTTGTCGTCTGGCTTGGAAAACCCTAAACTCCTCAACATCACCCAATCTCCATCCATAAGCGCTGGTTTCAGTTCAGAGTTATAAAGTACATTGGAAATGATGTCGATCAAGACTGCGTGTAAGCGACAAGAAGTTTTCATAAGGGGGAAGCTGTTGGATGTCCCCTTCGTGGTTGAATCTTTTATGTTATATGCATCATGCAAACTTCGAACAATGTCGGCTTATTCGGGCGAAGCACTATCTATAATCTTAGTGACATTGTTTCCCTTTTCCATAAATATGATGCACATCAGCATGAGATCTTTGAGCATACCTTTCGACCGGTCTCTCAAATTGAAAACTATATTAGCAATGACAAGCGGATCAGAGCCTTTGTAGTCAGAGTACGTCCATACCCAACGAACCAGGTCGCAGTGCTCCACCCAAATCTTCGAATGCATCAGCCGATATGCATCTCTAAAAGTCCAGAATTTTACTTGCTCTATCCAATCTCGGTCCTTGATGTCAGATAATGGGACTGTCTCACCTGGCTGGAGTTGTACGACAGAGGGAGGAACACACCTTTCTGACGTTCCAAAAAGCGTGGCAACGCCGTATTCTTTCAAAAGACTCTCAGAAACATTCCCGGCATCTTCATAAACTTCTCTCTGACAGTCCTCTTTTGCTAATTTCCCGCTTGCCTGTGAATTTGTTCTCTCTGCCACCGACTCACCAGTTGTCTCCTCCACCTCTTCTTCTTCTGTTGTTTCAACAGAGGGGTTTTTCTCCTCTGTTGACTGCTCCTCAAGTCTAGATCTTTTGACCCTTAGACCTGGAGTTGCTTTTCGACTTCTCGCTTTGCTCCCAGCTAGACGTCCTGAATCTCGTGTTGCTCGTGGTTCTCGCGACATCGACCTGGTTACTCGCCTTGTTGGTGATTCAATGGAGACAAGGTCGCTCAATTCCTGTAAGCGTAGCTGCTATCCAAGCGTTAATCTTCCTTTGAACAGCCTCATTTGACTCTTTATCTGCTGCATCCTTGATTGCGTTGATGTATTCTTGCAACTGTACCGGAATGTCGGTAAGGTCTATCTCCTGCTTGCCCCCTGCCTCATTTATCAAACCTGCTGCATCTCTCAAATCCTCTCCTAAATGCAATAATGCATATGCCTCAAACGCGCTCCGCAAAACAAACTGCTCCTGTTCTGATCGTGGTTGCCCTCCTGGAGTTGCTCAAAAAATTTGCAAAAAGCTTGCAGACACTTCAGAAACCATCTATTAGAAGGTTCTTGTCGTTGTGTGTTTCCATTCAAATAGTCTTCGGCACTAAGCGTACTCTCAATTTCTTGACTGTTCAAATGCCAGTCTCGCAAGTTCATGAATGCGCTTTCGAAGACTCCCTTTGTGGTCTTGTAAATTCAAGAGGCCTGTTGTACCTCACTAGTTCCTGAGATAAGGTCATCGACGTACATATCATTCAAGATTTCTTTAATAACCCTTGCTTGTAGATTCCAACCGTGTTTTCTGTCTCTCTCTTCTTCCTTCAAATAATGCGTAATCGTGGCGGCAAGTAAGAATGGACTGGAGATGACGCCAAATGCGACTTTTTTGGATCTATAAAGTTTCAAATTACTGATGTTCTCTCAGACGCTTATTAACGTAGAACTCTGGAGTCTAGAAGCAATAGGAATAAACGATTCACCTATAGTGAAGGATGACGATCTGGCTCTTAAACAATTCTATTTGACCCTGACAAGAAAGGGACAACGCTATTATGTCAGCTGGCCCTTTGGAGTTGGAATAACCAAATTAACGGATAATTAGAGACTCTGTTATGTAAGACTAAAGTCAACTATTAAACGCTTGAAGGATAATTATGAACTTCTAAAATACGATAAAATTT